GTTAAAAATCAATAAAATATATTAAAAAAAAAATAGATAGAGGCAGAGCAGCATCGAACAGACTGTCAAACTACAGCGGGAAGGCCAGGGAGGGTTGCGGGGGGGGGGGGGGGCCTAGTGGTGGTGATAAGAGATCAACCGAAGGACTTGTGTGCATGCATATAAGCATAACCAATGGACACAAGACACTGGGGGGTAGGGGAAGCCGGGGGAATGTCAAGGGGGGAAAAAAAGAGACATATGTAATGCTCTTTGTAATACTTTAAGCAATAAAAAAAAAATATATCATTCTAGCCATAGCTGGTTTTGCTCAGTGGACAGAGTGTCCATCTTTGCTCAGTGGATAGAGTATCCACCTGCGGACTGAAGGGTCCTTGGTTTGATTCTGGTCAAAGGCACAAGCCCAGATTGTGGGCTTGATCCCCAGTAGTGGGCATGTAGGAGGCAGCCAATGAATGATTCTTCCTCATTATCGATGTTTCTCTCTCTCTCTCTCTCTCTCTCTCTCTCTCTCTCTCTCTCTCCCCTTCCTCTCTGAAATAAATAAATAATAAATATAAAAATTATCATTCCACAAATTCTAAAGTTCTTTCATGAAACTCTACTTTTATTTATCTGAAGCCACTGAAGCAGTTTCTATCAAATTGGTGATATTAAAATCTGTCTATGATATCAGCTCTTTTTTTCTGGATACGATTATCTTCATTACAAAAGTTCACATTTTTCAAAAAAAAAAAGCTTTCAAATAACAAGCTCTGGAAGAATACTCATTTGGTTTGAGTAAAGCACTACCTGGAATTTTAAAAACATTTACACAGTAACTTTCATTCCTGATTTGACAGCATCAATAAAATTAGCTGTATGTGCTTTGTTCATTATTTGAATCTAGTATATGGTATATAAACCTTCCCAATTTTTCCTAAAGCTTTCTGAGCTCATCCAAGGAATGGATATTAAAGGAGTCATTTTTAGATTTCCTGACAAGCAAATTCCATAACTGACAACTGCAAAGATTCCTGGAACAGCCACATACTTTGAGTGGAAAAGGTCACTGAGAAAAGTATCATCTCTAACAATTTCTATTGTTGCCTACAATTTAGATAGATCTTTTTACTCTAACAGCTAATATCCTCTTATAATACTATAAACTAACAAATGGTTTATGAAAGTTTTATGAGAAGAGTGGAAAATAGGAGTTCCTGATATCTTTACCAACAAAGCAAGATAATACTGCCTCAAATTTTAGATTCAAAAGATGATGAAAAAAATTATCCAGGAAAACATAGCTAAAAGCTTAAAGATACACTAAAAACTTTACACTCTTTAAAGGGGCATTCACGAAGTTGAATAATCTTACAAAAAGCTACAACTACCAAAAATATAATTTCAACATTTTTTTTAAAAAAGGGTATGGAGCCCGGCTGGTGTGGGTCAGTGGTTGAATGTCAACTTATGAACCAAGAGATCCCTGGTTCAATTCCCAGGCAGGGTATATGCCTGGGTTTTGGACTCAATCCCCAATAGGGGGTGTGTAAGAGGCAGCAGATGGATGTTTCTCATCGATGTTTCTATCTCTCTGTATCTCCCTCTTTAAAATCAATACATTTTTTTTAAAAAGGTATAAATACTTTATGAATAATTTTAAATATATCCATCCATTTATCAATGTGACCAATATTTATTGCTAATTATATAGATTCAGTGGTGGGTAAAATTTAAAATAAGTATTTCTACCTCAAGGAGCATTCAGTATAGTTGGTGACTTTTATCAGAGTTTTTATATATATTTTTTACACACAAAAAACTATTACTAAAGTAAGTAATTATTACTTAATTTCTATCTTTTGTGTATAAAGTACATTTAAAAATTAAGAAGTACAGCCCAGCCAGCATGGCTCAGTGGTTGCGTGTCAACCTATGAACCAGGAGGTCACGGTTCCATTCCCAACCAAGGCACATGCCTGGGTTTCGGGCTCGATCCCCAGTGTGGGGTGTGCAGGAGGTAGTGATCAATGATTCTCTCTCATAATTGATGTTTCTTCTCTCTCCCTCTCCCTTCCTACTTGAAATCAATAAAAATATTTTTTTTTTTAATTAAAAAGTTCAGCCCTACAGGTTTGGCTCAGACTAAAGGGTCCTGGGTTTGATTCCACTCAAGGGGATATACCACATGCAGGAGGCAACCAATCGATGTGTCTCTCTCACATCAATGTTCTCTCTCTCTGTCTCCCCCCACCCTTCTACTCTCTCTAAAAATCAATGGAAAAATATCCTCTGGTGAGGATTAACAACAACAACAACAAAATTAAAAAGTATGAACTAGCCCTAACCGGTTTGGCTCAATGGATAGAGCGTCAGCCTGTGGACTCAATGGTCCCAGGTTCGATATCGGTCAAGGGCATGTACCTTGGTTGCGGGCACATACCCAATAGGGAATGTGCAGGAGGCAGCTGATCGATGTTTCTCTCTCATCAATGTTTCTAACTCTCTATCCCTCTCCCTTCCTCTCTGTAAAAAAACCAATAAAATATATACATTTTTAAAAAGTATGAACTACATGTTACATCACAAAGCAAACTATATTAGCTGAAAATATGACATATAACAGGTAACATATAATTATCATTTTAAAACCATAAAAGAAACAAATTATAAAGACTTCATGTTCCTGAGATTTATTTCTATACTAGAGGCCCAGTGCATGAAATTCATGCACTGGGGGGGAGGGGTTCCCCAGCCTGGCCTGTGCCCTCTCACAGTACGGGAGCCCTGCAATAGATCGCCCCAAAGAGGTAGGCCCCACCCACCCATCCGGGGCTCCTCGATGGATTGCCCCAAAGAGGTAGGCAGGAGCCGGGGTCCCGCCTCCGCGTCATGCATGCAGAGTCAAGTCCCCGCCCACCCGTGCGCGCCTTGCCGTGCACGCAGCCCTGCCCACCCGTGTGCACCGGCTGCGCACGCAGCTTTCTAGTAATGAACTGTGACGGCATGAGAGCATGATCACCATTTGCATATTAGCTCTTTATTATATAGGATTATCATCACGACTGACTTAAAGGCAGAATTTCATCCCATTTTCATTTATTTTACAGATTATACATATAAGAATTGTGTAAATTTTGCTAATAGTTTAAATCTAATTAAGATGAGTCACAACACTAATGTTAATTTTAATCTTAAATTACAACTTTCTATTTTATGTCCCAATTTAATTCTCTTCAGAGACAGGGGATGTTGACTGAAATTTACATAAATTACTTTGTTGTTGTTATTAATCCCCACCTGAGGATATTTTCCCATTGATTCTTAGAGAGAAAGGGAGAGACAAAGAGAGAAACATCAATATGAGAGAGACACATCTATTGATTGCCTCCTGCACACAACATGACCTGATTCACTGGGGAGGGTGGGAGGAATCCAGTCTGTAACCCAGGTAGGTGCCCTTGACTTGAATCAAACCCTGGACCCGTCAGTCCAAGGGCAGATGCCCAAATCAGCTAGCTCAGCGGTTCTCAACCTGTGGGTCGCGACCATCGGAAAACACATATAGCATATCAGATATTTACATTACGATGCATAACAGTAGCAAAATTACAGTTATGAAGTAGCAACGAAAATAACTTTATGGTTGGGGTCACCACAACATGAGGAACTATATTAAAGGGTTGCAGCATTAGGAAGGTTGAGAACCACTGGGCTAGGGCATAAATTACTTTTTAAATGTTTTATTTTTAAATAGATTTTTATTGATTTCAGAGAGGAAGGGAGAGGGAGAGAGAATCATTGATCAGTTGTCTCCTGCATGACCCCCCTGGGGATGGAGCCAGCAACCTGGGCATGTGCCCTTGAGAGAAATGGAACCCGGGACCCTTTAGTCCACAGGCTGTTGCTCTATCCACTGAGCCAAACCAGCCAGGGCTTAAATGTTTTTCCTATCAATCCATACTATATACAACACAAATCTGAGAAAACCTTTGAAACATTATTGGTATTTTGAATAAATGCGCATATTCTACTTTGTTTTTAAGAGTTAAGAAACTACTGGTAGCTGAATTTCACGCTACTTGTAGTCAATTTCTCTAAGTCACTGAAAGTCTTGTTGTATATATGTTTTTAAATATTATTATCCAATTCCCTTCCTATCTCGAGCCTTATTCCACAAAACTGGGCTACCTTGACTGTGTAAGATGAATGATAATTCATCTTTCAATTAGAAGGTGATTCCATTTAAAGTGGACTATTATTTACGTATATCACCCCCTTACAATACTGGTAAGAATTTTAACTCATTGTATTTATGAAGAAAATAAATCTCTGGTAGGTTCCATGACTTGCCCAAGATCAACAACTAGCCAATGGCAGGTTGGGTTCAATCCCAGATTTACCTACCTCAAAGCCAAAACTTCCCCTGGACCACAATTATCTCCTTAAAAGATTAAGAGACAGGCTCAAAAGCAGACAATCCTGTCTCTCTGAACTTATCTATTCTAAGGCATCACCACACAGTACTTACCAGTCGGCCACTGATTGAAATAAAAATGAAGAGCTTCGTTCTGCTTCATTTAAACTAGGGCAGGCTTACTGGCAGGTTAAAAAAAAAAAAAGAGGGTGGAAAAGGCTTGCCTCAACATGTCTCTCCTAGACCTCTATTCTATACGGTTCTAGTCTTTTTTTTTTTTTTTTTTTTTTTATAAACACCAATATCTACCAAACAAGACTATGCCGGACTAGCCTATAGTTCGGTGCTTTTCAGAATTGCACTTTTCTAAGATAACTTATACGATTTAATATAGAACTAAGAGACATTGTTGAATATGTTATTCCAGCACTTTTCAAACATTTGAAATATCATTTAGAGGCGACAAACCCAGTTCCACTCTCTTTTACGCTGTGATGCCGCCCACTTGGGGGGTACCGCTCCCGTGCGACGCAGGGACACGAGCAATAAAGGAAGAAGCGGGGGACGCACACGGAAGTCGGGTGGAGGGAGGTCTCCTTACCCACTCTTCGGCCCTAGCTCGGTCAAGGGCGGCTCCCCACGGTGTCCAGCCGAGTCACAATCCCCCAAAACCTCAAAACCGGGCTAGGTCCCAGCGGGGTGGACAGGGAAAGCAGGCAATGGGAGCTTTGGATTGCCCCAACCACCCTGCCCAGATCTATGCCCTCCTTTTGGCTCCGGAGAACGCTCCCCCTTTCAGAGCGAGTCCTCCAGGTGGCAAACTCCCCGTCCACACGGCAGAAGTCTTCTGCATCCAAAGGGAGCCTCCTCCGCAACGTTCACCCAGCCACCCGAAACTCTCCGCCCGCGGTTTCCACCAGCCCCTCCTCTCCACCCCCGCAACCTCCACAGACACCAGCGCCGGCCTGCGCCCCACCCAGCATCTCGGCGTCCCCCTTCCCGACCCGGAGAACGCGGCCCGCCCCCCTCCCCCCGCAACCAGTCCCCACAAACACACACACACCCACCTCAGGCTCCGACCTCCGGGACCCCGTCGAAGCCGGAGCGAGTACCTGGTCCGGTGGTGCTCCGGGGATCACAAGGGGCCGGCGCGGTCCCCTCCCAGAGGCGACGAGCGCTTCGGTACCCACCCACGGTGGTAGCTTCTCTCTTTCCCAGGAAGCGGAGGGAGGAGAGGTGTGGGAGGGGAGGGGGAAGGCGAGGAGCCGAGGGGCGACAGGAGCCGAGCCGGAACCACTAACGCTGGCCCCACCCTCAGCCTGGCGCAGAGCAGCCGGGCGCTCTAGGTAGGACACACTTCAAGCAGTCAGCGAGAAACTGACACAACCACTTCCGGGTCACCCCACTACTGCCCCTCCTTAGCAACCGCGTGGGGTTGCTAAGCGGAAGTGCCTCAAAAGCACCCCCATTTCTTCTGTTACTATCAGGAGGTAGCTAGAAGCGTGTACTCTCCTTTGACAACACCCTTCTACCTTCTGCTCCTGGTCTTAGAGCACACGCTTCACAGCCGGAGTCACAAAGCCCATCTTGCTTTTCCCTTAAGCTGTGCCCACGCCTCCACCCCTACCCCCGAGAAACTATGAACACCTGCTTCCTCCCACCCTGAGTCCCAGGCCACCCATTGCTCTCTCTCCCCCCCCCCCCCCCCTTGTGGGAGTTCTCTTTTCTGGCAGTTTAGCAAGCATCCCCCTCTTGTGGATTTTCAGTTGTGTTTCAATTGGGCTTTTAAAATCTTCAATGTTATGAAAGTTTTCTCATGTACTTCATTCTCCTTTGACAGCCTCATAGGGAATGGTAAGTTTTGTCTTTGTCTTTCACCCTAACCGGTTTAGCTCAGTGGATAGAGTGTGTCGGCCTTCGGACTGAAGGATCTGGGGTTCCATTCAGGTCAAAGGACACTACTGCAAGCTCTCAGGAGGCAACCAATCCCTGTGTCTCTCACATTGATGTTTCCCTCTGTGTGTCTCTCCCTCTCCCTTCCACTCTCTAAAAATCAATGGGAAAAATATCTTCGGATGAGGATTAACAAAAAATAAAAAATAAAATGTCAGTAGTAGGTTGTTTAATTAATCTAAAACATTACAACCCTTCTCATGGACATGCATACATGTGGAAGTACACACGCACACACACAATTCAAATAGAATCTGAGGACATCCAGTAATTAATTGTTCTTTAAAAAATCTGGCTGTGACAAGTGACAAACCATTACCATGACAAAATAGAACTTGATATTTTAATTGCCAATAGATTTTTTTTAATGTGTGTTTTTTGTTTTTTTTTAAATATATTTTATTGATTTTTTACAGAGAGGAAGGGAGAGAGATAGAGAGTTAGAAACAGCGATCAGCTGCTTCCTGCACATCCCCCACCGGGGACGTGCCCGCAACCCAGATACATGCCCTTGACCGGAATCGAACCTAGGACCCTTCAGTCCGCAGGCCGACGCTCTATCCACTGAGCCAAACCAATTTCGGCGCCAATAGGTTTATTTTTAAAAATTAAATTAAAAAAGTAAAACTATGGCCGAACCGGTTTGGCTCAGTGGATAGGGCTTCGGCCTGAGGACTGGAGGGTCCCGGGTTCGATTCCGGTCAAGGGCATGTGCCTTGGTTGCAGGCACATCCCCAGTGGGGGGCGTGCAGGAGTCAGCTGATACATCTCTCTCATCGATGTTTCTAACTCTCTGTCCCTCTCCCTTCTTCTCTGTAAAAAAATCAATAAAATATTTTTAAAAAATAAAAATAAAAAAGTAAAACTATGAGCCCAATGAACAATGACTTATCTAAAAGTACAGTGGACTACATGTCTTTAAAAATTTTTAAACATTATGGCAAATGTGTCCTACAGAAATGTTTTATCGAGAACAATTAATAGTTAAGATTAAATGTGGTAATTTAGGCCAATATAGAAATGCAAATTCCTATGCAACATCTATTTTTCCCATTGCCTGAAGAAATATGACAGTATTTATTTAGATCCTCTCTTCATAGTTTTATTAGTAGTAGTCACTTTTTTATAGGTTTGTAACTGGCTTGACTCCTAAATAGTCACATGACTTCTATTATTCTATCATTTTCAGTGTAGTCATTGTTTAGAGGCCTCTGAAGATAAAGAGCACAACCCACACCTAAAATTAGCTAGGTGAGTTTAACTACACTTACAGGACTTTGTGAGCAGTACTATTGGAGTCCATATTTTTTTTTCTTTTTATATTTGTATTGATTTCAGAGAGGAAGGGAGATAGAAACATCAATGATGAACCACTGATTGGTTGCCTCCTGCACATTCCCTATTGGGGATTGAGCCTGCAACCCGGGCATGTGCCCTTGACCAGAATCAAACCCAGAACTCTTCAGTCCACACACCGGCCCTCTATCCACTGATCCAAACCGGCTAGGACAGGAGTCCATATTCTTAATATGAACCATAATTAAGATAGTGCTAGATCTCAATTAGCCTTCAAAGTCAGTACAGTACGTTTATCCTGTAGATATAACCTCCAGGCTTTTCTCAGTTCTTAAAAGCTTTTTTTCCCCCCATTTTTTATTGCTCTTTGTATTAATTTAAGAAAGAATTAGGGTACCTAATGTTTATTTTTGGGAAATATAACTCTGTTATGCAATAATGAATATTTAAATATTCTTAGAGTTCCATTGGCATCTCCAAATATAAAAGATACAAAAACTAAAGTCTAACAATTAATGACTACTTGGATCAGTTTATGTGCCTAAGCAATATACAACACAAAACATAGCCCCTTATACAAGGGACTTAGAGAAACTAACTTAGGATATATGTGACATAAACAATAGAACGTTTAGCAGTAGGAAGAGAAAGCTAAAGATATAACAGCTATCTTTAAGTACTTGAAGGTTGTCATGTGGAAGGAATAACTTGTTCTGTGTTATGTCAAAGACAGAAACAAGAATAGGAAGGGGGAGGGAAGAATAGGAAGAAGAATTGAATAGAATTTTGAATAGAATTCAAAATTTTAACTCATGATATTTTTCACAATTAAGAGTTGCAGCCCTGGTCGGTGTGGCTCAGTTGGTTGAGCATCACCCCATGCACTGAAAAGTCACCAATTTGATTCCCAGTCATGGCATATGCCGGGGTTGCGGGCTTTATCCACCAGGTAGGGGGAGTGCAGAAGGCAATCGATCCATAGATGTTAAGCTCTCACATCTGTCGCTAAAAATCAATACAAACAAACAAACAAACAAAAAAGAAATAGTTGCCAACCAATTTCAATGGAAACAGGGAATATATACTTCCCTTATGTTTTTGGAAGAGGCTAAATTGCCAACCTAATTTTCAAAAAGCTTTGACAGAAAAACATTACATGGAACAGACACCTCTGCCTAATAAAAGTGAGACATCAGGACAGTAGCGGGGGGTGGGAGGGGGCGGTAAGGACATGGGTGGGGTGGGAACTGAGTGGAGGGGAGCAATGGGGGGAAAAAAGAGGAACATCAGTAATATATGAATAATAAAGATTTATTTTAAAAAATAAAAAATTTAAAAAGTGAGACATCATCAAATGTTGTATATTTGAACAGACTGTACTTTCATTAGATCAAATTTTTTAAAAATTATATATCAAAATTATACTTCATGAGACACACCACCAAAAAGTTTCTCTCTCCATCAGTGAAAAATAACAAATAAGGTTTCAGACCCATCAAAACTTGACTTTAATAAGAGTTGATTTGAGTTACTCCTTAATAAGAAGCCTAGTTATCAAGGAAGTACTTAAAATAAAACTCTACTTGAAATTCAGTAACATTTTATTTAATATCGACCTCTAAGACAAAAAAAAAAAATGCAATCTAGAATCATCAGGACTCAGTGTGGAAGATGATAAAATCAGAACAATGCACAGATTTGTATTTGGAAGAAATAAAACAGAAGTATCTAGTAGAATCTTAGGAAGCACACAAATGGATATAATCTATTGTGAAAATAAGTATCCATTTATTAAAAACAAACTTCAGAAAAAACATATATGTTAAAACATGGTTAATTTTGACAACAGATGTCAGCAAAAAAAAAAAAAAATGTGATGAGGAAGCAAGAATTACTGTTACTAAGTTACATTATACCCACCTCTTCAATTATACCCCTGTTATCTTGAAAAACATAAAGGCAGCTCTAAGAACTTTAGACATAGCTCTGGGTTTATGGCATGTTTGCCTTTCATGATTTATTGGTTTCCCGAGAGCACTATTTTATGATACCAACTCAAATGCATATTCTAAGAAAATTCTTCTCTTTTAATGTAGTCCGTGAAATCTTCCTGCCTGAAACCCTCAGGATCAAATTGCCCTTACTTGTTTCTATGGAGAACACAGACAGCCATCAAATTTTTTCAACATTGGCCCCCATTCTTGAAAAGAATACAGGTGTGGTTTAATTAATACTGATTTTTTTTTAATGTGCAGAAATCCAACTCTGCTTTTTAAATCAAATAAAAGGAACGAAAATAAAAATCTAATGCCAGTAAAAATGGCAGCAGTACAAAAATCTAAGCAAATCTCAAATACAGCAGATTTGTTGTATGCAACATGCAATGATTTCTTTTTAGCAAGCACAAGAAGCTTAATAACAGGTAAAAGAAGCCAAATACTGCATTATATTGAATACTAAGGTAAATAACCATAATTATCTCGTAAATCTTGCAATATCTTAACTAGTTGCTTTTGAATAACTATTTGTAACCCTCATTTTTAATTAAATGCCTATTCAACAAAGCTAACTGGAACAAATACATTTATGCAAATTTACATCCTAGAATACCAGAGTAAACAGGAGACATTAGTCAAGGATGAATAAGAAAGTTTTATTCTTCTTCGTCATCTGTGTCATCAGGTGGCAAAGGATGTACTCTGTGGAAAGAACAGAGAACTTCAATAGTCAATATCAACTGGTTTTTTAAAAAAAAAAATAGTTACAAACATATAAATCAGGAATATTAATTAACAGTGCAGTGGGTCTGGTCAAGTGACTGGAAATGAGAGAAAATAAAACCGTTAATCGATAAACACCTACAAATTCCTAGTGCTAGACTTTAGGGGTGAGTTAATTAAACGTTTAACCAAATATAGCAGGCTAGGTTGATAATTCTGTATGGCCCTCGAATGATGTTATAAATATCCAAATGGCCCTTGGCAGAAAAAAGGTTCCCCACCCCTGTGCTAGGGCAACAAAATGTTTAACAATTTATTTTGTCAATTTATAGAATCAGTGTTTCTTCTTTAGGATATGTTGCCATTTTTATTAAAGAAAAAGAAATATGTTTCTATAGCTTCTTATTTCAACATGTTAAATGGATAATAAAAGTGGAATAAAATCCTTCAGCAAGAACTTTGTGATAGTAAAAAGCAAATAATAATAATTAACAATCTATTGGAGCAGAGAAAAGTTATCATATTAGACTGTACACCCTTTTGAACAATATGAATCAAAAACATAATCATGCCCTAGCTGGTTTGGCTTAGTGGATAGACTGTTGGCCTGCAGTCTGGAGGGTCCCGGGTTCGATTCCAGTCAAGGGCACGTGCTCAGGTTGTGGGCTCAATCCCCAGTAGGGGGCATGCAGGAGGCAGCCCATCAATGATTCTCATCATTGATGTTTCTATCTCTATCTCCTTCTCCCTTCCTCTCTAAAATCAATAAAAATATTTTTTAAAAACCCACGTAATCATAAATCAGAATTTTTCTTTTTTAGAGTGGATGAAAATGTGTGAGATCTATCCTAAAATAAACAGCTTTCAATTTAGATCCAGTAAGCTGAATGGTCATAGAATTAGTGAAAGAAGAAAGCTAAAAAAAAGGTATTTTGACTTGGTATGAAATTATCATTGACTCATCTATTAGATTACGGAGATGTCTTTATTTTATTTTCCTAGAAATTTGATAGTTAACAAATGAACACCATCATGAACCAAAGTTCCTTTTCACAAGGATTTGATTTACTTTTGGTATCATGGTTCTGTTCAGGTTTTAAGTAGCTGCTAGTCTTTCTTGATTCTGACTCTCCCCCATGTAACTATTGGGGATTATCCTGCCTTTGTGGGGGAAATAAAGCCATAGGAGAGATCATATTCTAGATTATTAACTAGGGAGTTAATAGCAGAAGTCCTTTGATAAACTGATGGTTTGCTATTTACTACTAATAGTTACTCTATTGGTTTACTATCAATAAATGGGTAATTACAACAAAGACCAATTTAAGAAAGAGGCTTGCAAAACAACAACAAAGAAAGAGGCTTGCCCTGGTCGGTGTGGCTTAGATGGTTGGGCATCAACCTGTGCACCTTAAGAATACCAGTTTGGCCTAGCTGGTGTAGCTCAGTGTTGAATGTCAACCTATGAACAAGGAGGTCACCGTTCCATTCCCGGTCAGGGTACCTGCCTGGTTGTGGGCTCAATTCCCATATCGGGCATGCAGGAGGCAGCCAATCAATGATTCCCTCTCATCATTGATGTTTCTATGTCTCTCTCCCTCTCCCTTCCTCTCTGAAATAAAATAAATAAATATATTAAAAAAGAATATCGCCCTAACTGGTTTGGCTCAGTGGACAGAGCGTCGGCCTGCGGACTCAAAGGTCCCAGGTTCGATTCCGGTCAAGGGCATGTACCTTGGTTGCGGGCACATCCCCCGTATGAGGTGTGCAGGCGGCAGCTGATCGATGTTTCTCTCTCATCGATGTTTCTAACTCTCTATCCCTCTCCCTTCCTCTCTGTAAAAAATCAATAAAATATATATTTTTAAAAATGAATATCAGTTTGATTCTCCATCAGGGCACATGCCCAGGTTGTGGGTATTGATCCCTGGTAGGGGGCATGCAGGAGGCAGCAAATCAACGTTTCACTTTTACATTGATGTTTCTCTGCCTCTCTTTCCTTTTCCCTTCCTCTCTCTAAAGTCAATTAAAATTTTTTTTGAAAAGGAGGCTAAAGGAATAATATAAACATCTTTTTTATACCATACATCAAAGTTTTTAATGAGAATATATGTGTAATCTTTCTCCATATGATAGAAAGCCGGTAATATAGGTTGTATTGCTATAATGATCAATGGTATAGCCATATTGGGCTGCATTACCAAATATTTTGTTTCTTTAATGGAAGTCACAAGTAATTCAAAAGAATTGTAATTTATTCTAGAGCTGATAATGACTATTAGCTTGTTCATATTAGAATGAGAAAGTACAAGGAAGAATGGTTCCAGACAATGAGAGTGAACTAGAAGACACTTACAGGATCATTAAATCAAGTCTATTAAAAGGCTCTAACCAAAAATTTATCTCTTTGGTTGTTGATTTTTATTAAAACCAAAAATAATAATATTGCCAAAAATTCTAAAATTTGACATTCTTTTTAAATATTTCATAAGACAGTAAGAGCTAGTAACCATTTACTAAATGACCTTATGAACAGTACTGAATAATTCTTAGAAATGTATATGCATAAGCATCACTTTATGCGTCAAATACTTGTTTTGTTCTTTTTATAGAAGAACTTTTATTGATTTCAGAGAGGAAGAGAGAAGGAAAGAGAAACATCATTGATGAAAGAGAATCACTGACCAGCTGCCTCCTGCACGCCCCCTATGGGGGATCAAGTCCGCAGCCCGTGTCATGTGACCTCCACCACCTGGTTCATAGATGGATGCTCAACCACTGAGCCATGCTGGCAGGGCTCAAATACTTTGTTTTAATTGTTCTTCCAGCCACTTACTTTTATTTAATTGCTCTTCCAGCCATTTTATCTTTATTTTTGTGTTAAATGCAAATCAATTCCAGACACAATATACAATCCAAAACGGATGTACAGTGTTCAGATATAAGGCCAAAAAAAAAAGTATTCACACACACAGATCTCATATAGCTTGAGATGTTGATCTGGTTGTTCCTGTGCAGTTTTCTAAAGATGGCAAATATTTTGAGGGGAGATAGAAAAAGGTATAACGAGGATAAATGATGATGGAAGGAGATTTGACTTGTGGTGGTAAACACAATACAATATACAGATGATATATTATAGAATTATACACCTGAAAATTATATTTTATTAACCAATATCACCCCACTAAATTCAATAAAAATATGAAAAACAATAAAGATGGCCCTAGCTGGTTTGGCTCAGTGGATAGAGCATCAGCCTGTGGACTGAAGGGTCCTGGGTTCAATTCCAGTCAAAGGCACATGCCCAGGTTGCAGGCTTGATCCCCAGTAGGGGGCGTGCAGGAGACAGCCAATCAATGAGTCTCAACATTGATGTTTCTATCTCTCTCTCCCTCTTCCTTCCTCTCTGAAATCAATAAAGATATATTTTAAAAAATAAAAATAAAGATGGCAAATATTACTTTAAGTCTTACAGTGGTTCTCAACCTTCCTAATGCCGCGACCCTTTAATACAGTTCCTCATGTTGTGGTGACCCCAACCATAAAATTATTTTTGTTGCTACTTCCTAACTGTAATTTTCCTACTGTTATGAATCGTAATGTAAATATCTGATATGCAGGATGTATTTTCATTGTTCGCGACCCACAGGTTGAGAACTGCTGGTTTAAGACTTAAGAGTACTATGGCCATCCTGGATTCTATAAAATCTAAGCATCAGTGTTTGACACGTGAACCAAACATTTCATGGAGTGTCTATTTCTAAAAAGGCTTTTGTATATCAAAGCAGTTATAAAAAAGTTTTAATTTCCAAAATCAAGTACACTTAGACCAGTTTCTAATAATCTAAAAACACTGACTGATAGAGAGTGTTCCAAAGGTAACTATTCTGATTCAAAAAGTTTTAAAAAATATTTACAGAAAGAGCACAAAAGAGTTGTAAATTGAATGCAGGCAAGTTGCCAACACATAAATATGTATTATTTATGTCTTCTTCATATAATCGCCTCTTAGTTTCAAGATTTGTCAAATATGCCTTCAAAACAGATAAGTTTTTAAATTGTAAAAATTATTCAGCATATGCAGAAATTAAAAACAGTATTTTAACAATGTCAATGTACTTCTAATTTTCAAAATCAATGTAAGTGATTCAAGTTAGCTAAAAGAATATGGCACTCCAGCCCAGATGGTCTGGGTCAGGGGGTTGAATGTCCACCCATGAACCAGGAGGTCACAGTTCCATTTCTGGTCAGGGCACATGCCCCGGTTGTGGGCTTGATCCTCAGTAGAGGATGTGCAGGAGGTAGCCATTTGATGAGTCTCTATCATCATTCTATCTCTCTCTCCCTTCCTCTCTGAAATCAATAAAAAGATAATAAATAAAAAAAGAATATGATACTTATATTGGGTGAGAATGTGACAGGAAATACCTGTCATTTGAATTTTAAGTGTATATCCAAGAATTACTCATTATTAGATTTGTAGTAGATTTGAATCCAGCATTGTCCTGGCACATGTCAATTACTACATAAAGTCAAACGCAAAATCAAATACAAAAACCCCAGAGGAAAGAGTTAAGTTCCCAAGAAAATAGTGAAAATTTAACAATGTAAAAGTTTATGTGGAATATATCAACATTAAATTAGGACTGCAGATGCCCTGGCAGATGTGGCCCAGTTGGTTGGAGTGTCGTTCCATTCACTGAAAGGTGGTGGGTTCAGTTCCTGATTAGGGAACATACCCACGTTGTGGATTCGATCCCCTATTGGGGTGTGCATGGCAGGCAACCAATTGATGTTTTTCTCTCTCCCTCTCTGTAAAATCTCAGTAAAAAACATAAAAAATTAAAATTTAAAAACAAATTAGGACTGCTGAAATACAAAGACTTTATAGTAACACCTTTGGTTCCTTCCAATCTTATTAATAAAAGCCTAATAGGCAAATTGTCCCCTCCGGCAGTCATTCGGCGGTCATTCGACCAGGAGTTTGACTGGGAGACCACGAGTTCGACTGAAGTCTATGATGTACGCTGACCACAAGGGGGTGGCGCAGAACATGGCGGGTGTTGGCAATGCAGCACTGGCAGTAGGCAGCAGTAGAGACACTGCCGGCCCCAGTGGGCCCCAATGAGAGTGGGACCCTGGCGGGATGGTGGAGCAGTTGAGCAGGCAGCACCAGGCCAAGGTGGGTGCGAGCAGGGCCCAATCGCCCTGCTGATCACCTCTCAGACGGTGACCAGCAGCAGTGGGGGGGAGGGAGAGCAGGGGGGGATGGGGCCGCCAACTGGCTCCCAGGCACTGAGGGAGTGGGGCAAGGGGCCCAGCCCCAATCAATCGCCCTACAGATGGCGTCCAGTGGCTGGCAGGCCCTGATCACCTGATCAGGGCCAGGACCTGGGCTGGGATGGGGAACTGGGGGTGGGTGGAGGCAACCAACCTCCCGGTGCACCTGGGCGGGAGTGATGGGGACGGAGGTGCAGTGGAAATGCGGGGTGTCCACCGAGCTCGCTCTCACTCCACCTGCTACCCCTCCCCAGGATGCCAGGGCTCACGCACCGGGGAGCCTCACCCCCCATCCCCTCGCCCTGCTCAGGTGCTGGGCACCTGAGAGGAGCCCACCCCACACCCACACAGCCTCTTCTGGGTGAGCCAGGCCACAGCTGCTGGGACTGCAGGGGCTGTCCCGTGGGTTCGCACAGGAGCTGGTCTGCAAGGGCAACCAGGAGAGAGCGTGTTGCCCGCCCGGCTACTGTGTGGCGATGCTGGGCAGCCCAGAGGCCCACGCTGTGCCCTGGCCCATGGCATCTGGCCGTGCTCACCACATCTCCATGTGGGGACTCTGGCGCTGTGACTCAGGGGGACAGGGTGGAGGAGGGGGACAGGGGGCCCAGGTGCTGCCCAGAGGTCAGCTGGGACCTGCCCTTCCACTCCAGATGTTCACACTTTAATAGCTGGCCAGGCCTAGGGAGACTGCACCCATGCACAAATTTTGTGCACCAGGCCTATAGCGTACACATAAATGAAATCATGGAAGCTTTTTATATTACCTAATCCTTTTACTGCCTCCTAGATTTAATGAAGCCAAGTAAAAACTGACTCTCCATTCCACAGTTCATCCTTTTTCTCTAGATCCAGGTGAAATTATTCTTCTTTTCAAAGTTTTAGGTGTCCATACTTAAAACTTTTAAGCTACATTTTATCACAACATTAATTTTCTAAGTTGTCTCTTTGTTCTTGTACATGAAACTCCAGCAGATTTACTATTGGCATTCATTACATAGTCAAACCTGCAGATATTCTTTAAACCAGTCCAATATGAGATTCTCAATATTTTCTGCATTGGTAGGTTAGCAATTAGTAGATTTGATGAAGACCTGTTTTTCCTTGTCACATTGTACTTCAAAATGCCATATGGATTGGGCTGTAGAATATGGGTTGGTGAACTGTAGATATTTTTTGGCCCGAGTCTCTTAAAGGTAGAGATGTAGAAGCGCAAACAAGACCACAAGGAGACTGGCTGATAACTTCAAGGCACATTTGGATAGCGTTGTGGGTTCAGGAGGTTCTGGTGTGCTGATCAAAGGAACTTCTGAATAAATCTGCATGGGTAGAAACAGCACCAGAAGCAGCAGCCCCAGACTGAGCCTGGCCACCATCCCCGTGCCCATGTTGGTCACCACACCTTGGCTGGGGCCCGCCACTTGGTGTGCTGGAGGATCTTGGGCTCTTGAATGGTGCAGGGAAATAATTAGCAGGGTCTTAAATCAGGAGGCATCATAATGGCAGTGATGTGGCATGACCCGCCCACCACTGTCCTCACCACTGCCCACCCCTAATCAAATGATGTTTTCATAATAAAATATTTCAAAGTTATTTAGAGAGCTTAGACCCCTATCCTATACAATAAAAGGCTAATATGCAAATAGGCCAAACGGTAGAATGACCGGTCGCTATGATGTGCACTGACCACCAGGGGGCAGATGCTCAATGCAGGAGTTGCCCCCTGGTGGTCAGTGCGCTCCCATAGGGGGAGTGCTGATCAGCCAGAAACAGGGCTCATGGCTCGCAAGTGCAGTGGTGGTGGTGGGAGCCTCTCCCGCCTCTGCAGCAGCACTAAGGATGTCTGACTGATGGCTTAGGCCCAAGAGCCTAAGCCATCAGTCGGACATCCCCTGAGGGCTCCCAGACTGTGAGAGGGCACAGGCCGAGCTGAGGGATTCCCCCAAGTGCACAAATTTCATGCACGAGGCCTCTAGTCACTTATAAATCTATATTAAAGAAAGTTCCGTTGTCTTTTCTTCCAAGTGGCATTATTTATTTCCCTGATTCTATTTTTTTATTAAAAAAATATATTTTTATTGATTTCAGAGAGGAAGGGAGAGGAAGAGAGAGATAGAAACATCACTGATGAGCCCTAGCTGATTTGGCTCAGTGGATAGTTAGTGCCTTGGCCTGTGGACCAAAGGGTCCCAGGTTCAATTCCAGTCAAGGGCAAGTTGCAAGCTCCTCCCCTGCCTGGGCCCTGGTTGGAGGATGTGCAGGAGGCACCAATCGATGTGTCTCTCTCACATTGATATTTCTATCTTTCCCTTTCTCTACTCTCTCTATAAATCAAAGAAAAAATATCCTCTGGTGAGGATTAAAAAAGGAAAAAGAAACATCAATGATGAGAGAGATCACTGATTGGCTGCCTCCTGCATGCCCTACACTGGGGATCGTTCCCACAACCCGGGCATGTGCCCTGACCTGAAACTGTGACCTGCTGGTTCATAGGTGGATGCTCAACCACTGAGTCACGCTGGCAGGCTTTCCCCTGCTTCTTAAATTCATAGCACTTGTGAGACAACCTCACCCTCTGGATAAGCGAGTAGCAGGATGAAGAAGCAGGAGAAAGTAACTGAAGAGCCTTTGGACGCCTGGCCTTTTCCTTCACCTACAACCCCCATCATCACCAATTCTTCATTGCCACAACCACAAAATATTTAGCGCTAAATCTATCTGTATTGGCAGCACAGCTACTCAGATCTCCTCCCCTGCCTCCTGGGAAGCAGTTTCAAATAAATCTTCATTGCTGGACTGATGGTTGCTTTGAGCCCACAGGAGCATGCTTTTCAAATTATGGAGACAAGTCCATTCTGAGTGAGGCATTTTACTATGCTTCTTGATAGTTGTGAATTCCAGGTGAAAGCAATGGGGAAGTTTTAAAAAAAAGAATCAGCCAAACCAGGCTATAATGATATTTAAATAATCCATTTAAAGTGAGCTGATAGTGTTTTGTTAATAAGCAGTGTACGTCTTGTACATGCAAAATTGAATTCACCCTCCCACCTCTTCCTTCATCGACTGGAAAATTGTTCAGGGAAGCTGCTGCAAAGAGAGCACCTGCTCCTTTCTATCAGCTTTATAATAAACTGTTAACGGGAGGTTTCAGTAGCACCCTGTTATGCGTCTTTAAATTATGATGCGCACAAACCTTCTTTTCAACACAACGCATCTAAAGTTTTGATACTCGTAACTTTTGGGGGGGGTGGGAGGGTTGCAATTGTTTAAGAATCGTGGATTTATTTGTTGTAACTTTGATTACTGTCTTTGTGTATCAGCCCATGTCAACCAAGATGGGTAATTATTGAAATGCCGTACTTCTAAATTAAATGTTGTGGAATTCAATGGATAAATAAATGCTGCTTTGGGGATATTAAAAGAAAAAGAAAAAGCCCTGCGGACTTTTTGGCCTGCGAACTGAAGGGCCCCAGGTTCGATTCCAGCCAAGGGAACATGCCTGGGTTGTGGGGTCAATCCCCAGTAGGAGGTGTGCAGGAGGCAGCTGATCAATGATTCGCTCATCATTGATGTTTCTAGCTCTTTCTCCCTCTCCCTTCCTCTCTAAAATCAATAAAATATATAAAACAACAACAACAACAAAAAGTTAAAGTAAACATCATTTAAAAAAAAAAGAAAAAGAAAAAAGAAAATTGGTAGCACTTAGTAAGTATGAGAGAGATTTTTACTCAGAGATGATTTCTATTGATATTTGGTATATTTTCATTTAGTATTGTTTATATTTGGTATACCAGACATTTGGTACTTTTGTAATAAAGATTGTACTTTTGCATCCAGAAATTTTGCTTAGCACTTATCATGAGCACTAACTTCCCACCCCATTAAAGCTTAAAAAGCATGAGTTATCTTCCTAAAAAGTTTGCACACTGAATTCTGCATGTATGCAGTTTTATTCCCACCTTGTTTGGAAGTGTTCTTATCTATAATAATAAAAGCATAATATGCTAATTAGACCGGATGTCCTTCTGGACATCCTTCCTTCGGGACAAAGCCGCAGCAGGCCGGGGCTGGGGCCAAGGCCCTTGCATGAATTTCGTGCATCGGGCCTCTAGTGTACTAGTATTTATAGAGAAGTTGTAAAGAAAATACCCAATGGAGTTAATTTTGGTTGTTTCTAAGCGATGGGGTTTCTACATTTTCCAACTTTTCTACATTGGTTACATATTTCTTCTGGAGGTTGAACTAATGGTTTTTTAAGGGGCAGTATTAATGAAACTCAAACTAGATAAATCAACATGGAAAGTGCTTTTTGAAAAGACTATTGAAAACAGACAATAAAAATTAAAGACTAAATTAAAGACAATAAAAATTAAAGACAGGAAGTTCATAGTTAATAGTTAATAACGTAGCATTCATCTTGATGTAAACTGATACTCTTTAAGTGACTGGAATGAGTAAACAGAATACCTTTCAATGATGTTTGAAATTTGGGAGTGACTTTTAATAAGAGATCAGCACAAGTTTTAAAAACCCTTTGGTTTGTATCTTCTTAACTTCTCAAGGGGAAACTTAAAAGTTACTCAACATCTTATTGTTTTTTATTTTCAAAAATATCAATATTTTCTTATATTGCAGAATATAAAAACTTACTTTCTCTTTCCTTTTCCTAAACCACTGCTTCCTGCCTCTTCAGGAATCCGATTCTCTTTTTCAGAATCTTTAGGGGACAGTCTGAAGAATTCTCCAATTCCTTTTTGCCATTTGGGAGTTGGGCGCACACAAACTGGATTCCCTCCTGCATACTTATTTTCAGCTGTAAAATATAAACAGATGGAACTAAATAAGAACTAAGAATACAATAGCTGTTTCTTAGAGGGAAACAATTTTTTAACATCAAATCTAAAGGTTATTAAATGGTATTACATCCATCTTAAAATGAAGAACTGGAAAATGTGACAAAATAAAGTTGTATTCAGTTAATAGTACATTATATAGCACAGTATTGTAGTATAATGTATAATACTTTATCATCATTATCCTTTAGCCCAGAAAAATAGCATTAATGGAATTTTTACAACTGGAAAATATTTTTCATATTTTATCTACAAGACCGATTCGAAGAGCCTTGTGTACTGTCATGATAAAGTTTGACCCACTTTTTCCTAATATAAGGTAGCATCATGTACCATAAATTGCCAATTTTTAAAAAAATTTTATTATTTGTTGACTGATTTTATAGAAAGAGGGAGAGGAAGAGAAGGAGAGGGAGAGAGTTGTTCTTCCGTCCATCCATGCATTCATTAGTTGATTTCTATATGTGACCTGACCTGCGAACCCGCAACTGGGCATATCGGGAGGACACTCTAACCAACTGAGCTACTGGGCAAGGCTAAACTGACAAATTTTTATTTAATAAGGTCATTTAGTTAAAGCAAATATAGAAGGCTAAATAAGTAGTGTATAGCAGTGAACATTTCCACATAAATATGTTCCACTTTTCAAAGCATTTGACTGCTTTTTAGCTCATAGGGTAAATCTAATTCCTGATTATTTAAAAAAGTAATATAAAGGGAAAATTTCTATCCTTTTTACAAAGTAATGATTAGAATACTAAGAAGAGCAAATTATTAAGTTACTACATATATCCTTGCTTACAACACATTTGTCACAAACTCTAGCTGTTAAAAAAACTGATAAAAGTATTCCTATATACACTATCTAAAGTTCTATGGTTTTTACTTTTTAAAGAGTACAAATGGCCTTTAAAATAGAGTGATCCTTTGATTAATAACTTTCTTTTTTTAAAAAAAAAATATATTTTATTGATTTTTTACAGAGAGGAAGGGAGAGAGATAGAGTCAGAAACATCGATGAGAGAGAAACATCGAAGAGCTGCCTCCTGCACATCTCCTACTGGGGATATGCCCGCAAACCAGGTACATGCCCTCGACCGGAATCGAACCTGGGACCCCTCAGTCCGCAGGCCGACGCTCTATCCACTGAGCCAAACCGGTTTCGGCTTAATAACTTTCTTGAAGGAAACTTAATGAGAATGCTTTCATTACTAGAAAGTATATAACAGCAGCGGATAGTTCAGCAGAGAATTCAAACCCAGCTCTGCAGATTTAGATGTGTGACCTTTACCAAAGTATGTAATCTGAGCTTAAATTTCCTCATTTTTAAAATAACGATATTACCAATTTCACATAGTTGATTATTGATTAAAAATAGAGATCTGTAAAATACGTTAATAGGTGCATCTCTCCAACACAAGTTCATTAAGGGCCTACTCAGTTGTGTTTCAACAGTGGGCCAATGTGTCCCTGTGTGTAAATTAGTGTAGTGATACAGGGTATAAGATATTCTCCATAAATTCATCTAGTTCCAAAAAATTTGACCTATTATTCCTTTTTATCTAAAGGGATTGAAATAGTAAATATTTTCTAATAAAATGTTTAGAATAGGGAGAAGTTTGAGTTAACATAAAACCCCATGAAGTCCTGCCCTAGCTAGTTTGGCTCAGTGGATAGAGTGTTGGCCTGCAGACTGAAGGGTCATCCCAGGTTCGATTCCAGTCAAGGGCACATGCCAGGGTTGCGGGCTCAGTACCCAGAATGGGGAGTGCGGGAGGCAGCTGGTCCATGATTCACTCTCATCATTGATGTTCTCTCTCCCTTCCTCTCTGAAATTTACAAAAAGCAACAACCATGAAGTCCTTCACAGTGCTTCCTTGTTCCTAACTAGACCTTGTGGAATTAATCTTCCTTACCGCTCAATTTCCTACCAAAAGGAATGAGGCATCAGATGGCAGGGTATTTTCTCAACCTATCCTTGCACAGGAGCAGTGTGAAGCTATTTCCTTGACCGGGTTTTCATTGCTACTACCCAAAGGCAGTATCAGAAGCTGTAAAGTTGGGAAACACTCCAAAAAACAAAAGAGGGGTGGAGAGGGAGAAAAACGTGCAGGAATGAAAACAAAATGTTTACACTAAGAAGACAATGTTAGCCCTGACAGTTTGGCTCAGTGGATGGAACATCGGCCTGCAGACTCATGGGTCCCAGGTTTGATTCTGGTCAAGGGCATGTACCTTGGTTGCAGGCACATACCCAGTGGGGAGTGTGCAGGAGGCAGCTGATTGATGTTTCTAACTCTCTATCCCTCTCCCTTCCTCTCTGTAAAAAAATCAATAAAACATATATAAAAAAAGAGGACAATGTGATTAGTACTGTCAACTATCATCCTAATTCTTTTTTTTTTTTAAATATATTTTATTGATTTTTTTACAGAGAGGAAGGAAGAGAGATAGAGAGTTAGAAACATCGATGAGATAGAAACATCGATCAGCTGCCTCCTGCACATCTCCCACTGGGGATGTGCCCACAACCCAGGTACATGCCCTTGACCGGAATCGAACCCGGGACCCTTCAGTCCGCAGGCTGACGCTCTATCCACTGAGCCAAACCGGTTTCGGCTATCATCCTAATTCTTAATCTATTAAAGGGATGCTTACATAATCTCTTACAAGAAAAAGCCGCCGAAACCGGTTTGGCTCAGTGGATAGAGCGTTGGCCTGCGGACTGAAGGGTCCCAGGTTCGATTCCGGTCAAGGGCATGTGCCTGGGTTGCGGGCACATCCCCAGTAGGAGATGTGCAGAGGGCAGCTGATCGATGTTTCTCTCTCATCGATGTTTCTAGCTCTCTGTCTCTCTCCCTTCCTCTCTGTAGAGAATCAATAAAATATATAAAAAAAAAAAAAAAAAGAAAAAAAAAAAAAAAGAAAAAGCCATTGTGCCCTGGCTGGTGTGGCTCAGTTGATTGAGCATTGACCAAAAGGTGGTGGGTTCGATTCTGGTCAGGGCACATAATCTAGGTTGTGGTTAGATCCCTGGTCTGAGCACCAGGGGAGGCAATCAGTCAATGTTTCTCTCTCACATCCATATTTCTGTCTCCCTTCTTCTCACTTAAAAAACAAAAATCAATTAGCCTAGCAGGCGTAGCTCAGTGGTTGAGTGTCAACCTGTGAACCAGGAGGTCACAGTTCAATTATTGGTCAGAGCATATGTCCAGGTTGCAGGCTCGATCCCAGTGTGGGGTATGCAGGAGACCGCCGATCGATGATTCTCTCAACATCAATGTTTCTCTCTCTCTCTCCCTCTCCTTTACCCTCTGAAATCAATAAAAATCTATACTAATAAAAGCCTAGGTGGCCCTCGCGTGCACGATGTCATCACAAGATGGCCACGCGCACAGTGGAGGCGGGGCCCAGCAGCTGCTCTGCGCAGTGAGGCCTGGGGGTCCTGCAGCTCTTCGTGGCATGGAGGAGGCCAGTTCCGGCGGAGGAGGCAGGTTCCAGTAAAGGAGGGCAGTTGTGGATGATCAGGCTGGTAGGTGAGGGCAGTTGGGGGCGATCAGGCTAGCAGGGGAGCAGTTAGGGGACGATCAGGCTGGCAGGCAGAAGCAATTAGGGGCAATCAGACAGGCAGGCAGGCAAGCGGTTACGAGCCAGCAGTCCTGGATTGTGAGAGGGATGTCCAACTGCCAGTTTAGGCCCGATACCTGTGGGGTCCCAGATTGGAGAGGGTGCAGGCCAGGCTGAGGGACACCCCCACCCCCGTGCACAAATTTCATGCACCGGGCCACTAGTCTATATAATAAAAGCCTAAGCAACTTAAAGGCAGAACAACTAGAACGACTGGTCGCTATGATGTGCACTGACCACCAGGGGGCAGACGCTCAACACAGGAGCTGCCCCCTAGTAGTCAGTGCACTCCCACATGGGAAGCGCTGCTCAGCCAGAAGCTGGGCTCATGGCTGGCGAGTGCAGCAGTGGTTGTGGGAGCCTCTCCCGCGGCAGCGCTAAGAAGCAGCAAGCCAAGTGGTAAGGAGCGAGGGGTCCCAGACTGCAAGAGGGCACAGGCTGGGCTGAGGCACTCTCCGCGCGCCCCCCCCCCCTTGCCCAGTGCACAAATTTCGCTCACCGCGACTCTAGTATATATATTTTAAGTCACTTAAAAAATTTAATAGCCCAAGCAGCTGTGACTCAGTGAATTGAGCATTGACCTCTGAACCAGGAGGTCACTGTTCGATTCTAGTATGGGCACATGTGTGGTGGGGTGTGCAGGCTCCATTCTCAGTAAGGAGCAAGCAGGAGGCAGCTAATCAATGATGTTTCTCTCTCATTGATGTTTCTCTCTCTCTCTCTCAAACTAATAAAAAGATATTTAAAACCAATTTTAATAAAAAATGGCATTTGTTGCCCTAACCGGTTTGGCTCAGTGGATAGAGCATCGGCCTGAGGACTGAAGGGTCCCAGGTTCGATTCCGGTTAAGGGCATGTACCTTGGCTGCGGGCACATCCCCAGTGGGGGGTGTGCAGGAGGCGGCTGGTCGATGTTTCTCCCTCATCGATGTTTCTAACTCTCTATTGCTCTCCCTTCCCCCTCTGTAAAAAAATCAATAAAAAAATATATATATAAAAATGGCATTTGTCAAAAATAAATTTTTAAAAAATGGCATTTGTCAATATTAAAACAACACACTAAACCAAAAAAAATAGGTTTGAAGATAAATTGTATTTATCCCTAACATCGAGGCTTGAGATTCTTTTCCCCTCCTCTGCACCAACTCTCCAGGACACCAAAACCCCCTCATTATATCATAGGACAAGGAAGAAATTTGGGCAGGAGGATCTCGGGAAAATAAATTCCACGATGCGTAAGGGTGCTTGCAGATCAGGAGAAATGTGGTACCAAGGGGAGAATTGTGGTGCCAGGTCTGATCCCCTTTTGAGAGGGTTCCTCCAGGCGCTTGCAGGCGCGTTTCTTACCTTTCCTAGAAGAAGGCGAAGTGAAATTAGCAGCAGAGGTGGCGGAACCAAGCACCTTCCTGGGGGCTCGAGCAGCCACCACTGCGGAAAGAGGCAGAGGAGGGCGTTTAGAAGGGGGCAGTAAGGTTCCCACACTGAGCCCCAAGCTCCACAGTCCCAGACGCAAGCTCTCGGAGAGCCCCAGGATAACCCTTCCCCCCCCCTCCCCCCCACCCCTTTAAGCAGCTAGGCCGCTGCTTCCCAGGCTTCTCTAAGTCTGGCACACAAGGCCACGGCCCCCATCCCCCACACGCTTCTTCCGCCGGCGGGGGGGGGAGGGGGGTGCGGGGACACGGTGAGGGGTACACCCGGCCCTCCACTATCCGCCTGACTGCCTCACCTTTTCTGTAGGTGCCCGGGAGACTGTCCGCTCTAGTCCGCACCATGTTCGGACACGAGGAGGTGAGAGCAACCCGCTGGCTTTCCCACGGAGGGCGTCTCGCTGGACAAGAACAAGAACAGCAACCTCCCGGGCACGGTTTATACTGGTCTCTTTCCCGCGCACGGCGGGGACTCTCCCCATTGGTTCCGCGCCTTCTCCCCATTGGTTCCGCGCGGTCCCCCGCAACCAATGGCCAGCGTCCAGGGAGACCTCTGCAGGGTCTTGGCACAGTGCGGACCCGTCCATCAACTGGCAGAAGCTTGTGATTCGACTGGTACCGCCCCAGATGGGCGGTGGCGGGGTGCCTTCCTGGGGTGGCTCCAGGGTGGGTTTTAAGATTTTGAACTCGGGAGGGAAAACATTTTGAACTAGGGAAATGGGTCTGCTGCGAGGGGTTTCGGTGGGAGCAAAGAACGAGAATTTTTACCATTTATTCAAAAGTTACCGCAGGGATTGTCAAGGGCGGGGAGGGGGGGGGGAAGGAGACATATGTAATATTCTTTGTAATACTTTAAGCAATAAAAAATAAATAAAAAAAATATTTAAAGAAAGCAAAAAAAGAAATCTACACTAATAAAAGACAAAGATGCTAATTGACCATAAAAAAAAAAAAAGTTACCGCAGGGTTCAATCCATTAGTGATTCACTCCTGGAAGTGAAACCTGAAATGAAGCGGACTTTTTCATGCAAATCAAAATAAATAGAACTTTCCTTTAATACTTCAGGGAGGAACTCTCTCCACTGACTAAAACAATGCTACGGAATGGGAGAAAAGGAAGCTAATGCAACTTATTTATAGGGCTTTTTTTTTTTTTTTTTTTTTTTACGTTTTTAGGATGGTGTGAAACTAAGGGGAAAACTGAGTGAGTTGTATATCCAAACATACATAAAGAAAACAAATTAACAAAACGCTTTCTTGAGACATGTATAGTCTCGGTGTTAAAAATATGCCAGTAGGGCTGGGATGGCTGAGCATTGACCAATGAACCTGAAAGGTTGTTGGATTCCCCTGGGCACATGCCTGGGTTGCAGGCTCTGCCCCAGTGGGGGGCATGCAGGAGGCAGGGGGCATGTAGGAGGCAGCTGATCAATGATTCTTATCATTGATGTTTCTATCTCTCCCTCTCCCTTCCTCTCGGAAATTAATAAAATTATATATTTCAAAATATGTCAAATGTGTTGTTGCATCTCTAGCAGACAGTGAGCATAACTCTAAAATAGGAGCCCATACTATTTCCTATCCCTGTGCCTATCATCTAATTACAATACTCACAGGGAGTGATTTTCACACTCTGAATACCATGCATAAAACATCAGATGAGTTTACCTTGGGATTTTGTTAAATTCTCACTTGAAAAGCAACCCTGAAAGTATCAGCACAGCATTGATTTTCTCTAATAAACTGTTTGAACTTTAGGAACCTTTTAGTATTTTAACAAAATCAACAACTACTTTTAGAATGAAAGAATCTAGACAACAGGCGAAATTAGCATTAAGATAGCAGGAAATGTATTGGAAATTACTTGTAGCTTTATCTAACTAAACCTTGTAGTCTAAGATTAGAGCTAAATCCCTATCAGAAAAATCAACAAGCTCCAGGGTATAGTCCTTTGTTATTATCATCATGCCTCTCTCAATACACAATCGTTCTTCAATACACATCATTTTATTTCCTGTTAAAGTGGCTTCTACAAAGACCTGAATTACTTAGTTTGAATATCCCAGACCCCTGCAGCCGTTAGAAATACATAGAGAATCTGCTGTTTTTTCATCCTAGTCCACTTATCAAGTAAATTGCTACAAAGAGTTGCAAATATACTTTTGCGCACAAGGATAGTCTACATATTACTACAGCTATATTTGATTGGATGTTTGTCTTTTGAATACCAAATACGTCAGGGAAGGATAAATTGTAAAGTTTTTAAAAAAGAAAAAAACAGTGATGCCTAGTAAAAAAAATCTAAAAAGAAATTTTTTTTTCCCACCCTGACCGGTTTGGCTCAGTGGATAGAGCATCGGCCTGCAGACTGAAGGGTCCCAGGTTTGATTCCTGTCAAGGGCATGCACCTTGGTTGTGGGCATATCCCCAATTGGGGGTGTGCAGGTGGCAGCTGATCGATGTTTCTCTCTCATTGATGTTTCTAATTCTCTATCCCTCTCCCTTCCTCTCTGTAAAAATCAATGAAATATATTTAAAAAATGTTTTTAATTGATTTTAGAAAGAGAGGGAGAAGAAGAAGAGAGAGAGAAACATCGATGTGAGAAAAACATGGATTGGTTGTCTCCTACATGTGGTTACCTCCTGTACACACCCTGACCAGAGATCAAACTAGCTACCTAGGTATGTGCCCTGACTGGAAATCAAACCAATAACCTTCTATGCATAGGATGACACTCAACCAACTGAGCCACACCAGACAGGGCCCTAGTAAAAATTCTTAATTTAAACATTTGCTGTGAGGAAATGCATCTCCTCTGCAGTTAAATAAAACAGAATTCTGTGTGTGAATCTGAAAATTTCGAAGGCCTAGGGCATTAAGAAAAAATGTAGTATTATATGATTAAAATTTCTGCCTAAGTTTATACGAAAGAACATCTTTAAGTCATGTTACATAGGTGTGCTTGTTTTGCTCAGGCAAAAAGCTAATAAATGATAATGATTGTAAATGATATTACGTTATATTACAAGCATTACAAACTAGAGATTACAATCCTTAACAGGCCTTATGAAAAAAGAACACTTTTAGTCTTGAGGAACTAGTAATTTCATCATACTAAGTATGCTGTATTAAGTCTTATTTTTATATACAAAAGCCTAATATGCAAAGTGTCCCCTCAGGAGTTCGACTATCTGGGAGTTCGACCATCCAGGAGTTCGATTGCTCGCTATGACGTGCGCTGACCACCAGGGTCAGTGCAAAACGAAGGAAGGCTGAGGCCAGCAGCAGGTAGCCGCTAGGGACCCTACTCATGCATGAATTTCGTGCACTGGACCTCTAGTTGTAAATAAAATTGAAGTCATTGTCTCTGTCTTTAAGAAGTTAACATTTTTAATTATGGGGGCTGAACAGATAATGAAACAGGTAAACTTCTTGGATATGTTATAGTTAGTATTAAATGTAGAGGATTTTTATGAAGAAACAAAACTTGTACCCATGCCCTAGCCAGTTTGGCTCGGTGGATAGAGCGTTGGCCTGCAGACTGAAGTGCCCCAGGTTGGATTCCAGTTAAGGGCACATTCTCCAGTGGGGGGCGTTCAGGAAGCAGCCAATCAATGATTCTCATCATTGATGTGTCTATCTCTCTCTCCCTCTTCCTTCCTCTCTGAAATCAATAAAAGTACATTCATTTAAAAAAACCCCAAAACTTGTACCCAGTAATAATGAACATTCAGCGTATTATTTAAGCTAGAAAATCACGTTTTCCAAGCTAAAAACAATCTAAATTCAATGTAAATCAATACACTTGTGATTTTTGCCAATGAAAACATTCGCATAAAAAGATGAAAGAGCATCCGATTAATGTAGTCTAAATAGTCTAATGGAAATGAAGAATCTATAAATGTAAAACAAAGCCAGCCAATTAAATTTATTGATTAAATATATCAGAAGTGCCCTGGCTGGCATGGCTGAATGGATAGAGCGTGGGCCTGCGCACCAAAGAGTCGTGGGTTCAATTCCGAGTGGAGGGCACATACCTGGGTTGCAGGTTCCATCCTGGCTCTAGGCCCCATTCAGGGAGCCTGCCAGAGCCAACCAATCCATGTGTATAGATGTTTCTCTCTTTCTCCCCCTCCTTCCCTTCCATTCTCTCTCTCTAAAAAAGAAAAAGAAAAAAAAAAGGCCCTTTAGAAAAGTCTGGCTAAATTTTCCCCGAGTCTACAGTGGTCTACAGAATAGCAAAAGACCTTTAAGTCTGGCCATCGTGATCGCCTATCGATGTTTCTCTCTCAGCGATGTTTCTAACTCTCTCTCCCTCTCCCTTCCTCTCTGTAAAAAATCAATAATATATATTTAAAAAAAATAAATCTGGCCATTGTGGATTGAAATACATACCTCCAAATTCTGTAGTGACTTTTATCACTACATTGAATTCCTGTGCAAGGTCTTCAAAGCCAAGTCCCAACACCTGTTTTATATAAAGCTCCCCTCCCCCCTTTCCTCACCCCTACCCCCACCTCCGCACCCCCACCCCCAAGCACCGCCGTGGAGCTTGCTGAGTTATCTTGTCTCTCCCGGGAAAGATCTGGCTCAAAAAATTAAACAGAGAGGTTTTAACAGCATGACTCTAGTCTTGGACTATGGCGGGAATGGGAGGAGGGAGCGGTATTAAGACAACCACTACCACCGGAGCAAACTCTTATAGTAGTAAGTGCTTTGCCTCGGCTACTAAGTACTATTTTGAACATTTTACATTAAAACCGACCATTTAAAATTGGACCTTCGAAAGTAAAATAAAAGTGGCCCCTCAAGTTAACGGATTACAGTTTTGATTTTCCTAAACTGTGGTTTTTATAGGTATTTGTACTGCCTTCTCAACCGAATTCTCGGTTTCCGAGTCCTACATCCGCCAAGGCGGAAGAATCACGCGCAAGTGCTCGGATTCGAGCGCCCGGCCGACGCGGAGGGGAAGGGGGCGGGGCAGAAGGGGGCGGAGTCGAAGGGGGCGGGGCCGGCGGGCGGGAAGGCGGCGCTGCACTGCGACGGGGCGTGCAGCTGGCGGAACCCGCGCGAGCGAAGTCGCTGTTGCGAAGGGAACTGGTCCGGCGCAGGACTCGAGGCTTTTTCAGCCCAGCTGGTTCCGGCTGGGGAAAATGGCGGTGGCTGGGGCGGCGCCCCGGGAGCAGTTGGTGGGCTGGTGTACCCAGCATTTGCGGAAAACTTTTGGCCTGGATGTCAGTGAGGAGATCGTGCAGTAAGACCGGTTCGGGTCCGAGGCGGGAAGGAGCTCTGTGAAGTGAACGGGCCGAGCGAACCCGGAAGCAGGGAGGGCTAAAAAAGTTGATGAGAATGAAGAAATGTGATAAGAGGGCTGTTGTTGGTCACTAGGCACCGATTTTTGACTTTTGGTTTTATAGTTTAGTTTCTGGAATAGAGTGTCAGGCTGATGGGGTCGCTCC